AAAAAAATACTCAATTAATTCAAAGGAAGGCCAAAAAAGAGGGAACAGGGAACACAGAACAGATGGGTCAAACAGAAAACAAGTATCAGGATGGCAGATATAAATCCCACCATATCAGTAATTATATGAAACATAAATAGTTTATAGGACGGCTGGCAAACTATGACCTTCAAGCCAAACCCTCCCTGCAGCATATTCATACACAGCCCTCAAGTTAAGACTGGTTTGTACATTTATAAAGTATTGTTAAAAAGGAAGTGAAGGAGTATGTAGCAAAGACCATATGTGGCCCACAAAGCCTAAAATTATTTATTACCTGTCCTTCATAGAAAACATTCTTTAACTGCTGGCTTAAATGCCCCAATTAAAAATTAAAAGGCAGAGATTGTCAGGTTGGATAAAAGAGTAAGACCCAACTATGTTGCCTACATAAACCAAAACAGAAGAACAAAAAAATACATATGAGATAATGGGGAAAATATATCTGCCTTCAGTTCCTGACATGGAGCTCCCAAAACCTTTGCAATTTCATAAGTGATAAGAGCACTAGAAACATCTTTTAAAAAGTTTTTGGTCTTTGGCCCTGGTTCCTGACACAGGGCTCCTGAAACCCTTGGAATTTCCTGGGTGAGAGCAGTGTCTTTTGTTCTAATATTCAGATTGTTTGTTGGGCTCCTGGATGGGGGTTGATCACCAGAAAGACCAAGCCATGATTAGAAATTTGGAATTTTCAGTCTCACCTCCCTCTCCTATTCTCCAGAGAGGGGAGAGGGGAGAGGGGAGAGGGGAGAGGTGCTGGAAATAGAGTTAATTAATTGATCATGCCCAGATAATGAAGCCTCTGTAAAAATCCCAATAGCATGGGGTTCAGAGAGCTTCTGAGTTGGTGAACATGGGGAGGTGATGAAAGTGGTGCCTGGATACCTTGCCCTACACACCTCTCCCATCTGGATGTCCATCTGTATCATTTATCATGTCCTTTTATAATAAACTGGTAAACTGTGTTTCCCTGAGTTCTGTGAGCCACTCTAGCAGGCCATAGGAACCTCCGAGCTGAGCATCAGAAGCACAGGTGGCAAGCTGGACCTGTGATTGGCATCTTCAGTGGGGAGGGTGCGGGGAGCAGTCTTGTAGGACTGATCCCCTAACTTGTGGGATCCGACACTACCTCCAGGTAGATAGTGTCAGAACTGAGTTAAACTGTAGGGCATTCAGCTATTGTCATAGAAAATTGTTCAGGGGAGAACCTCCCCCCACCAGTATCTGGTGTCAGGAGTGTTGAGTGCAGTAGTATTAAGAGAGTAAAGGGAAGGACTGAAGTTTTTCCTTTGTTATCTTGTTCTGGACTCAAAGGTAGCCCCAAATTAGAATTACACACTGGGTACAGGCAGAAAGAGCTCCAAAATACGTTCTCTATTTATGGTTCAAGAAGTAGGAAAGGGGCCTTCTAAAGATCAAAGAAGATGGAGAAATTCCAAGTTCCCCCCACCCCATCCCTTCTCTCCTGTCCCAGTTTCTAGGCAATCCCATGTTGGCAGTGGGGGAAGGCAAAAGCGATTGGGCAGACACCACACATGCTCTGCGCAAAGGGAACATTCTCTATGACTAGAGACATTGTGATCCCAAGAGTGCTGGGGGGCACTCCTGTTGCTTTTTTTCTATCTCCCTGCCGTTTGGCACTGAAGGAAGACATTAAGGGTGAGTAATGTGTGGCAGAGCAGAGAAACTAAAGCCCAGCTTTCTAATCAGAGGACTAGGAAGAGGGGTTCTTGGGAGATGGAAACTATCAGTGAAACTGCTGAGACAGAGGAACTCAAGAAAACAATTTGGTAAAGTTGTATTATGAACTCCTGGGTTCACCTCTGAGCTTTGTGTGTGTGGATCTGGTCCTAAACAGCTTAGACTTTGAGGAGTGAACTACGGGACAGACCACTGCCACAGTCTGAGGCTGGCCACTTAGTGGTGCATACACAGGATGTATCTGGATAGAACTGTAACATCCTTGGAAACAGAACTGACTTTGCAACCACAGCCACAGAGTGTATTTTAAATGTGAAGGTATCTGACAACAGAACTTCAAATCATGAATCAAAACCTGAAAGAACTGAAGGAGAAATAAACAAATCTACAATTGTAGTCGGAAACTTCAATGCTCCTCTTTCAGTAATGGGTAGAACGAATAGAAAATCAGCAAGGATATAGAAAAACTGAACAACACCATCAACCAACTAAAAATGATAAAACACTCCATTCAAAACAGTATAAATTACACTTTCTGTACTGCACATTCTTTTCGAGAGCACACAGAGCATCCACGGAGACAGACCATATCCTCAATCATAAAATAAGCTTTAATAACTGTTTTTAAGTTAGAATTATATAAATCATGGTCTCAGATGATAATGGAATTTAACTAGAAGTCAATAATAGAAATGAAACTGGAAAATATTCAAATACCTGGAAATTAACAACACACTTCTAAACAGTCAAGTGTGAAAGAGGAAATCTCAAAGGAAATTAGAAAATATTTTAATTTGAATAAAAAACAAAAATACAGCATATCAAAACTTATAGGATGTAGGGAAAGCACTATTAAAGGGAAGCCTATTGCATTAAATGATTATATTAGAAAACAAGAAAGGTCTCAAATCAATAACCTAAGCTTTCACTTCAATAAATTATAAAAATAAGAGTAAAATAAACTAAAAGCAAGCAGAAACAAGGAAATGATCAAGATAAGAGCAGAAATCAACGAAACTAAAACCAGAAACAATAGAGAAATCATTAAACCAAAAGCTGGTTCTTAGAAAAGATGTATTAGAAAATTCCTAAACCTCTAGCCAAGTAACAAAAAAAAGAAAAAGAAAAAGAGGGAAAGAAGGGAGGGAGGGAGAAGGAAGGAAAGAAAGAAAGGAAAGAAGAAAAAAGAAAGAAAGAAAAAGGGAAAGGAAAGGAAAGCAAAGAATTGGATTGGACCAATTTCTAAAACCAGAAACTACCAAACTCACCCAAGGTAAAGTAGATAACCTGACTAGTTCTGAATACTATTAAAGAAATTGAATTTGTAGTTCAAATCTTCCAAAGAAGAAATCTCCAGGCCCAAATAATTTCTCTGGAGAATTTTATCAAAGATTTAGAGAAGAAAAACACCAATTCTACACAATCCCTTCCAGAAAATAAAAGAAGAATGACTATTCCCCAAATTGTTGTATGAGCCCAGTGTTACCTTAATACCAAAATCAAACCATGATAATTCAAAAAGAGAAGTCTACATAGACCAAGAGTCCTTGCGAACATAGACATAAAATTCTCAAAAAAAAAATAGCAAATTGAATTCATCAATGTGTGGAATAAGACAGCACAACCAAGTGAGTTTTATCCCAGCAATATGAGACTGGTTTAATATTTGAAAATCAATTAATGCAATACATTTTATTAACAGTCTAAAAAAGAAAGAGCATATGATTGAACCAATGTATGTAGGAGAAGCATTTGACAAGATTCAACATCCATTCTGTATAAAAACTCTCAACAAAATAAGAATAGAAGGGAACTTCCTCAGCCTGATAAAGGGCATCTACAAATTACCCAGAACTAAAATCACACTTACTAGTAAAGCACTGAATACTTTCCCTAAATTCAGGAACAAGATAAAAATATTTACTCTCACCACCTCTATCCAACATTGTACTGGGAGACCAAAGCAGGGTAATAAAATTAAAAAAAAAAATAAAAGGCATACAGATTGGAAAGGAAGATCACTTCTCGGCCTTTTGGCTAAGGTCAAGTGAAGTGAAGACTGGAGAAGAAGAAATTAAACTGTTCCTATTTGTGGAATATGTGATTGTCTCCATAGAAAATCCCAAGAAATTCACACTAAAGAAAGCTTCTAAAACTATAAATAAATTTATAAAGATGGAAATATACAATTTAATATCTATGCACTAGCAGCAAACAATTGGAAACTGAAATTTAAAAAACAGTACCATTTATAATAGTACTCAAACAAGAAATACTAAATCTCAATAAAACTGTAATTTAAAAAAGACATTGTTTGGAAAAGGAAAAAGTAAGCCATAGAATGGAAGAAAATCTTCACAATAGCTATAGACGACAGTGGACTTTTACAACTCAATAATAGGGAGGAAAACAATCTGATCTTTAAAACTGGGCAAAATGCTCGAATGCTTCTCAAAAGAAGATGTACAAATGGCAAATAAGCATAGGAAACATGCTCAGTATCACTAGTTATTAGGGAAGTCCATACAAAAACAAAAATACATTATCACTACACACTATTAAAATGGTTATATTTTTTCCATCAAATTGTGAACCTGAAATATGTGTAGCTTACTGTACAGGAACCATACCACAATAAAAGTGTTTAAAAAATTGGTTAAATTTTTTTAAAGTGACCATACCAACTAATAACAAAATGTGGATCACCTGGAACCCTCATACATTGCTGGTGGGAATGTAAATAGCACAGCTACATTACAAAACACTTGGACCAAGTCTTACTAAGTTAAACAGTTACCATATGATCAAGCAGTCTCATTCCTGGGCAGGTATCCAAGAGGAAAGAAAGCATATATCTACAGCATAGCCTTATATATAAATGTATATAGCAACTTTATTATAACATCTCCAAACTGTAAAGAACCTAAATATCCATTAAAAAGCGAATTAAAAAATATGGCATATCCTTACAATGGAATACTACCCACCAATAAAAAGGAACAAATTACTGATTTATACAATTACATGCATGACTCTCAAGAACTCTATGCTACTGGAGGAGTAATGTCAGTGACAATGGCACAGTAAGGAACTCCAAAATTCCAGTCCTCAATAAAAGCAATAAAATAATGCAAAAATGTCAGAATCAATGTTTTGCAACTGTGGAAATTAAATAAAGGTTTCAACAACCTCGGAGCACTTATTCAAGAAAAACAGGTGAATCTCAGTAAAACAGCAAGCTTTGCGGTATATAAACTTACCCCAGTCCCATCTCCCACTCTCCAGCTCAGTTGTAGTTTTGCAAATAATAACCTATACTGCTGGTGGTGGAGGGATTAGACCAGACCTAATTCATTAAAAAAAAAAGTAATTATTTGTTTTGACCAATCTTGTGGTTCCCTGTAAGATCAACTCAGAAAGATTGTCTTTATTTTGCCTAACTCAGAACTAGTCCAGGGGTGGAGAGTGGGTGCTGTTTATCAAAAACATTTACGGGCAAATGTTTTAGTCACTGCTGCCTGAGGCACTGGATGAAAGTTGAGGCAAACAATAGTCTAACCAAAAAGCTTAGTAGGAAAGGCTGGGGAATGAGATGTCCACAAGGATTTGAAAGCTCTGATATATTTCTGGGAATCCAGAAGGCAACATAAATACCCAGGGATACGTGTATGCCAAAAAAAGACCTGAGAAGCAATAGTTATAAATCTATGTTAATGGACACACAATGGATAAAAATGCAGTTTGAACAAGAACGGTGTAGGTGGAGGGCAATGAAGCTATGTAGAAGCAAAATTTTTTGTACACTATTGAAATTAAGCTAGTGTTAACCTAAACTAGGTCGTTACAAATTAAAATGTTAATTTTAATCTCCATGGCAACCCCAAATGATTGAAAAAATATAGAGTAAAAGAAACAACAAGAAATTAAAATGATACATAGGAAACTACAAACACAAAAGAAGGCAGTAATGGAGGAAATGAGGAACAGAAAGACATAACAACATATAGGAAAAAAATAGCACAATGGCAGAAGCAAGTCCTTCCTTATTGGTAAACTAAATGGATTAAGCTCTTCAATTAAAAGACAGAGACTGGTAGAATGGATTTAAGAGAATAAATAAATAGATTTAAAGAGCACAGAAAAAGGCATTCCATGCAAACAATAACCAAAAGAGAGATTGAGTGCCTATACTAATATCAGACTTCAGGGAAAAAATTGTTACTAATGACAATGAAGGACATTACAAAGTGATAAAAGAATCAATTCATCAAGAAGATATAACAATTGTAAGCATATATGACCTAAAAACAGAGCCCCACAGAATAAAGCAGAAACTGAAAGAATTAAAGGGAAAAAGAGACAATCCAACGATAATATTTAGATATTTCCCTCTTTAAATAATGAAGAGAACACTAGATGAAGGTCATCAGGAAATAGAATATATACCAACTAGACCTAACAAACATCTACAGGACATTCTACCAAACAGCAAGATACACATTCTTCTTAAGTGTGCATGGAACATTCTCCAGGATAATTGATATGTCAGGTCATAAAACAATTCAGTCTCAGTGAACTTTAACAGATCTAATTAGTGCAAAGTATGTTTTCTGACCACAACGGGATGAAATTAGAAATTAATAATATTTGGAAAATTCACGAATATATGGAAACTAAACACACTCTTAAAATGGATCAAAGAAGAAATCACAAAGAGAACAAGAAAATATTTGAGATTAATGCAAACAAAAACACAACATACCAAAACTTTAGAAATGGAGCAAAAATAGAACCCAGAGGGAAATTTATACCTATAAACGCCTAAATTAAAAAAGATCTCAAATCAATAACCTAATATTCATTAAGAAACTAGGAGGGAAAAGAACAAACCAAACCCAAAGCAAGTAGAAGGAAGGAAATGAAAAGGATTAGCACAGAAATAAATGAATCAGAGACTAGAAAATCAATAGAGAAAATGAACAAAACCAAAAATTGGTTATCTGAAAAGATCAATAAGATTTACAAAACTTTTCGCCAGACTGATGAAGAAAAAAAAGAGAAAAGACTCAAATTACTGAACTCAAGAATGAAAGAAGGGACATTAATACAGATCTTACAAAAATAAAAGAAAATTATAAGAGAATACTATAAACAATTATATGACAATAAATTAGATAGCCTAAATGAAAGGAAAAAATTACTAGAACTGTACAAACTCCCAAAAGTGACTGAAAAGAGAAAGTAAATCTGAAAATGCCTATAACAAGAAATTGAGGTAGTAATCAAAACAATTTTAACAAAGAAAAACCTAGGACAAGATGGTTACATTGTTTAATTCTACCAAATATTTAAAAAAGAATTAGCACCAATTTTTCTCAAATGATTCCCATAAAAGAAGAGGGAGAAAACATCCTAAGTCATTCTGTAAGGCCAGTATTTCCCAGATACCAAAGCCAGACAAAAATATCACAAGGAAGGAAAATTACAGACCAACATTGCTTATGAAAATAGATAGAAAAATTCTCAATAAAATATTAGAAAAGTGAATCTAGCAGCATACAAAAATTATTGTATATTATGACCAAATTGTATTTATTCCAAGAATGCAAGCTTGGTTCAATATAAAAAAAATCCATCAATGAAATATACTATATTAACAAAATAAAGAGGAAAATACATAGGTAGAAGAAGGATTTAACAAAATCTAACACCCTTTCCTGATAAAAACACTTAACAAACTAGAAATAGAATTTCCTCAGTATGATGAAGGCTATCTACAAAAAACCCAGAGCCAATGTCATATTTAATTGAGAAAGACTGAAAATTTTCTTCTCTAAGATCAGGAGCAAGAGGAGAATCCCTGTTATTACCACTTCTGTTGAACGTTATATTAGAGGTTCCAGCCAGGACAATAAGGCAAGAAAAAGATACAAAAGCATTCATTTTAGAAAAGAAAAAGTAAAACCATATCTATTTGCAGATGACATGACCTTACACACAGAAAATCCAGATTATCAAACTTACAGGATACAAAACCAATATACAAAAACCAATTGTTTTTCTATATACTAGCAATGAACAACCTCAAAATTTATAATAGCATCCAAAAGAATAAAATACTTAGGAATAAATTTAATGAAAGTAGTATGAAAGTTGTACTGAAACTAGAAAATACTGTTGAAAGAAACTAGAGTTAAATGAATAAGAAAACATCCACCTATTATGAAAAGGAATATATGCATGTATATGTATGACTGAAACATTACAGTGTACACCAGAAATGGACACACTGTAAACTGACTATATTTCAATTTTTGAAATTCTAATTAAAAAAAAAGAAAACATACCATATCCATGGATAGGAAGACAGTATTATTTTTGTTAACATTTTTTAATTGAGTTATAGTCATTTTACAATGTTGTGTCAAATTCCAGTGTAGAGCACAATTTTTCAGTTCTACATGAACATACATAGTCACTTTTTTCACTGTGAGCTGCCATAAGATCTTGTGTATATTTACGTGTGCTATACAGTATAATCTCGTTTATCAATTCTACATTTTGAAATCCCAGTCTGTCCCTTCCCACCCCCC